GACAATAAGGGTTTGAGCAAGATTTAAAAATTATTATTTATATTAAAACATCATTTGAATCTAATTTAATAATTTTTATTCTATTTTCTTAATCAATATTTTAATTGATTATAAATCTTTGTAGCCTTGTAGTCAATTAGATTTTTTTAAAATACTACTTAATATATATATAAACTCGATGAGTAATATTTCGAGCTAAAACGAGCCGAACACGAACGAACGCATCTTAGTTCATGTTCAGCTCGTTAACTTATCGAACGAAATTAACGAGTCAAACACGAGCTTCTTAGCGAGTCGAACACGAGCTCTTCGCGAACAACGAGCCGTCTTGACAGCCCTACTTGAATATGATCTAAATGATAAAATAATAATATAATAATGACAAATGTAAAAAAGAACAAATATGATCTAAATATTAAGATTCTTGACTACTTGGATTTGAAGGTCATACCTATGTGTGGGCAATGCTCCTATGCCACGATGCGGCGACCTTAAGCCGCTCGGGATCGTGAAAAATTGGTGGCGCCGGGCTAATCCGTGGATCGACTGGTTCCTAGTCTTGAACCAGTCTTTGAACCGTCGGTTTGATTGATTCTAGGGATCTCACAGCTTGAAAGGGACACTTGTTCATTGTCAAACCAACCAGTTTAGTCCGATTATCTAAACCTTGCATATTAGATAATTAATACCAACATATTAAATTTTAAAAAAATAATAATAACATAATTTAGCATGCATTAAAAAGATGGCATATATTCAAAAATTGTAATTTATATATAAGAATGGAGTGACAAGTAATTCTTTCTTAATTATAAATTTATAAATATATTAAATTTAAAAATCAAATGGCATTTTTAGTTAATTATTTTTATTTATAATTTACATAATGAAAGAAAAAAAAATTATTTTATTAAAAATAATAATATTTTAAATAATTATATAAAATATTTCAATACAAAATAATTATAATAATATTTCAAAAAAAAATAAAAAATTAGCATATAATAAAATAAAATAAAGTAATCAATTAGCATTAATTTCTTAGTGGAAATTGTATGTTTTATGCATTGGGGCTGGTATGTAGTCAAATTTGAGTGGAATTCTATTCCAATTTAAAAAATGGGTCATTTACATAAATACCCAACAATCCTTACATATTTACATTTCTAATACCTAAACATTCATTTTTACATAAATAGCACTAAACCCTTTGATATTATATCAAAAATTTCACTATTATTGACACTTCAAAAGTGAAGACATCTTATCTATGTAAAGATTTATTACACTAAAATGGCATTAATGTAAATATCAAAATTTGGGTGTTGGGTATAAAAATGCATAAGAATTGTTACCTATGTAAATTTCCCTAGAAAAAATTAATAGTGAGTAGAATGAAATTTGTGTTGAGTGGAAAACGATTTATTTTTTAGTTAATTTTCATGTTTTTTAAATTTTTGGAAAGATTTACATAAATACCGCTCTTGCTTGCTATGTATTTACATATCTAATACCGAAACTTAAATATTTGTGTACATGCCGCCTCAATTTTGCATGAAAAGATTGTATTTCACTTTTTTTAAGTTAAAATAGTGATATTTTTATGTGATATAAATTATTCAGATGGTGTAAACATAAAAAATAAAATTTAACTCGTAACATTTATTAAAAGTCCATAATAAGATAGATAGATATAGCAGTGTGCACGTTCTTTGAATTATTTGGTTTGTTGGTATAGCATCGTGCACGTTCTTTGGTCTGTTGGTATAGCAGTCTCTTTGAAGGTTCAGGTCCCGGGTTTGAATCCCCTGGTGGCGCAATGTCGCCTTAAGTCACGTGATACTCGAATTATTTGTACATCGGGTCGACCCCAAAGCTAGCAGGGGTTGAGCCCATACCCCAGCCCATTCCTTAAAAATATATAGTTATTTATATATAAGACCCCTCAGATCGGGGTTTTGAATCCCCTCAGACACAATTGGTCTTAAGGAGGTGGTACTTGAAATGTTAGACACATTAGAAGTGACTAGAGGCTCGTATAATAGTCTCTAATTATTCCTTTTTACACACACACATAGATATATATATATATATATGGACATAACTATTTATAAGGAAGGCATAAAGAGGAACTCTTTCTTAGAAAAGATATTGGGTGCTGACTCCTGTTTTGACATGCCATTTGATTAAAATAACCAATCCATTAAAAGAAAGGTGCATTATCAGGAACTCAGATAAAAACAGCCATTATTATTCTTGAGAACTTTGATATGATGTGATTTCATTATAACAAATGATATTATTAAAAATCCTTATTCCAATATGTATTATATGATTGTAATGGTGAGGGTCATACAAAAATGCCTATAGAAAGACATGAAGAGAATGGTTCATTGCATTATATTGAAAATATTCTAGAATTGTTTGGTTCGTCGTAAAATAAAGACGTGATTTTATTATTATTATTATTATTTGTTTGAAGAAAAATTAATTCAATGTAAAATACACGAGTAAGTAATGGCGGGGCAATGATATGGCGGGTGGTGGGAACAGGAAAAGGCAGTGACAGCGAGAGGTGGTAGCAGCAGGCGACAGTGAGGACCGACAACAGGGTGGGCGTCGACGCTGTTAAAACTATAAAACTAAATTGGCAAATATTATTTATGAATTATAAATGGAAGTTATTTCAAGTTATAGATTTAACATTTTATTTATAATTAATTAAATTTAAAATGGTAATTCTAATGCTATTTAGTAATAATGTTATAATGTTATCATGTTATAACATTGTTATCTTTATTTTATTTTATTTATATTAATTATAATAATTTCCTTCCCAAATAAAATAATAAAATAATTGGAGATGAAAAAGCTCAAAAATCAACTTTCTTATAATATTTCCTAAAATTTTACTTTTGATCTCATAAAGAGCTATAACTCAACCATCTTTTTATCGGAAAAAATATCATGTGACGCCAGCAACTGTACGTCTGAATGACAGTCCGGATTGCGGCTGATCGCACGTCCGTGCAATAGTACGAATGCAGCCACACCCCCTTGAATCATACACCGGCCCATCTTAACCATAGTCGAAACGTGCGGTCGCGTCGGGTCGCGTCAACTTACTCATTATTCTTCAGTATAAAGGTTTCATCACATTACTTACGTATCAGACAGAAAATCTCAAAGTTTCGTAATCATGTGTGTTAATTTAACTAATCCTGATATATACATCAACATCATCTTTAAAAAAAAGCATCTGTCAAGCTTTCCATTTACATTTCGTGATGCTCAATATCTTGTTTATTATATTTGCTTCTTTGCATGAGGATGAAGATGATGATATGTTAGCTTTATAATCATGTCGATTAAGTGCATTATTATAGTCTCTTATGGAGAGATTAAGTTTATTAATTGCGTTGGGTTGACGTATTAGATGCACCACCTTGTGCTTTTATAAATAAAAGTGTGCATTCTTTTGAACAAGATAATATAAAAATTCTTCAAAAAATGACATTTAGTGGGTTCATGAGGGCCCTTCTGAATTATTTGCAAATAGCACATTTTGTGGATACCATGCAACCATTTGTAGTGCTCTCTCTCTCTCTCTCTCTCTCTCTATCTCTCTCTCTTTCTATCTCTAACTATCTATCTATATATCTATCACGCGCACATAAATCATGGTTGTTTTTTCAAGTGTGCAATACTCGTATTTCATGGACTCTTGACAGGTAACCGATATTCTTATTAGTGCTCTCTCTCTCTCTCTCTCCCCCTCTCTCTCTCTCTCTCTCTCTCTCTCTCTCCCTCTCTATATCTCTCTCTTTCTATCTCTAACTATCTATCTATATATCTATCACGCGCACATAAATCATGGTTGTTTTTTCAAGTGTGCAATACTCGTATTTCATGGACTCTTGACAGGTAACCGATATTCTTATCATTATACACGAGAAATCCTTAGAAGAAATAGAGGTGATATAATAAATTTATGTGGTTTTAAGATATCGACCTAATGTGCAATTGCGTAGATTTCAAGGTAGTGATATGTGGTTTTTGTATAAACAAGATGATGACATGGAGAGAAAAGAAGTTGATATTTGCCCATAAAGATTTTCAACAAAATATTATAATGGGAAAATATATTTAAGATAATAATGAGTCTTAAACAGTGATGATTATTGTGTGC